GCTCACAGCAACCTCCAAATCCTGGGCTCAAGCGAGTCTCCTGCCCCAGCCTCCCAAGTAGCTGGGACCACAGGCCCCCGCCACAATGCCCAGCTATCTTTTGGTTGCAGCCGTCATTGTTGTTTGGCGGGCCGGGCTGGATTCGAACCTGCCACCTTAGGTGTATATGGCTGGCACCTTAGCCACTTGAGCCACAGGCCTGGAGCCAATGCTTATTTTCTAATGGAATCCTTCTCCTTCTCTTCCTCTTTCTTCTTCTTCTTCTTTTTTTGTTTAGCAGGCCAGGGCTGGGTTCAATTAAACCCACCACCCATGGTGCACGTGGCCAGCACCACTGAACTTCGGGCACCCAGCCTTGGAATTATTCTTATCAAATCATTTTATACACCACATTATTGATTTACCTTGATAGATAGTAAAAACTTCAGCCTCCCCCTTTTTTTTTTTTTTAACTTCAGCCCTTTTGATAACATTCTATCTAAACTAGGGAGGGTGTTGAATATTTACTACCCCTCTTGATTTGAGAACATTCCTGGTATGGACATCATTACTACTGTTCAACAATTTTCCAACTCAAAGGGCACCCAATAGGGTTGCATTTCCTGGTCCCTGTGATTGGGTAGGGCCATGTGCTGGTTCTGGTCACTGAGTTGGGACCAATACTGATTTATAGTAGCTCTCCAGAGATGTCACTCACCTTACACATGACTAGCATTGTTATCAGTACTAAAACAAACTGTTCTTTTTGTCAGTAAATACATAATTCTTTTCATAAAGAAAGAAGAGGCTTGCAAGTGATCTTGTTTACAATTTTGTTTTGATTGTTAGAAGTTCAGGGTGAAATTGTGGATCCTTCATTAGCAACTAGTCAGGGACACAGGGCATACAGTAGAACTTCCATGGTTGACCACCTCCCTACCTGTAGGGAGGTTCAACTGACCCAATTTTTATAGACTGGACATGTACCACATGTGCAGTACAGTAGGACTAGGTCCTTATGTTGACCACCTCCATACCAGTATGTTGATCAGTTTGTTACAGTACCTCAGGTGATCAACTTCCAGAGGTTCTACTGTGTATTCTCCATGTGCCAATGTCATCCGGCTTTATATTTTTCTTATCTAGTTTTCCCCTTTGTGTCAAATCTCTACCCCTTATAAAAATATTTATCACCTTGTTTCAAATGTATTTTTCTGGACTACTCTCCTTCTTCGTACAATACATAGATTATAAATAAATAAAAAATAATGATTGGGATGAGCCCAGATATTTTTTTCCAATAAAAAGAAACTCTGTGGATTGAAGATCTGTCCACAGAAACTCTGTGAACTCTTCAGATCTTGGGTAGCTGGGTTGGGTACAAGTAACAAAGAGACGGCCTCTAAGGAAAGAGTTCCCCCACCCCTGGGGCCAGTTCAAGGGATCACAATTCATGGTCAATCATAACTGATATGATATTGCTGCAATACCAACTATTAGAACCTAAAAGAGACTAATACCAAAAGACTTCAAGTCCTGCATACTTATTACTTTTCATTCTATCTAGGTAACATAATCCTTAAACCAGCAAGGGGACAGGTGGGTTGTACCTACTCTAAGGTTTTCTCTGTATTAATGCTACTAAGCGTACAAATGCCACAAGACTATTTTGTTGTTTCAGTGGTTAAAAACAATGACTACTTTTAAAAATTTGTAGTTAAACTGGTTCATAAGAAAGT